AATTTTTCAATATATTTATTAATATTATAGCTGTTGCCTCATTTTAGTGAAAACTTTTATGCAGAAAAATCCAGTTAGTTTATATATGAATCGATTAAAAATTTATTGTTATCTAAATAAAATAATAAAAATCAAATATTTAATTGATTAAAATATTTGATCGAATCCTCTTAATTTTGGATAGATGTTACATACAAATTTGACGAGAAGCTCGTTGAAACATGAGCCATAATTTTTGAACAGGAAATCTACGGAAGTCCCAAGCATAGTTGTTAATGTGATTTAGATTAGTTTATTTTATAATCAAATGTTATTATTCAAACTTAAATTTTATTGTGATATGATTACATAAATGTAAAAACTCCAACTTAAACGCTTGTTTTAAGGAAATGTTTTTCCAGTTTTCATTTAAATATTTATTTATTTAGTTAATCATTTCTTGTTGTTTTGTTGATTCCTTTTTAATCTGATATTATAACAGCTCCGAAAGCCAAAATGATTGGTGAAACCTTCCCTCCTTTTTTTTCTACAATTATTATTTTTAAAACAGCTGATTTTTTTATTTCTATTCTTGAAATTCGCATTAATTCCATAAGTGTTTTTCTTTCTCGCATATATATTTTCCTTTTTCAACTTTTGTTCCTTCATCCGGGTATTTATTTGCTTTTAACACTGTTCTTTTTTCCCCCTCACCTCCTTACGAATATTTTTTCTCATCTCCTATCATATTTCATTCTATTAATCAAGTGTGTCGCAAATCATTCAGCGACCGAAGTCATGTATTTTTTCGCGATTTTTTCATATTTCACGTTAATACTTTCAAGCATACTTACATACTTTCAAGCACCTCGATACACACTTGTTCCTTCTTTATAGAAACTGCGAATTCAATGTCTCACATTATTCCTGGAATTTGAACAAATGTAATCTAATTATCAAGATATTTAATGAATTCGGTAATAATGAACATCAGGATCCCGACAAAATTTTCTCTCTCTAGCCATTAACTCTCTGTACCTATGAATTGAATTGAAATTAAAACGGATTTAATTCATTTACAAGGTAGAGCATTGAATTTAATCAGTTAAAGGAAGATATTCTGTGATTTACTACGATTCGACACGCCATTTTTCGATGACGCGAAAATTATGCCCATAGGGTGAAAACTGTTATTTCGAATTTTGAATTCTAATCTTTTCTACAGATAGAAAAGTAAGCTGAGTTATGATTCACGTTGTGTATGCCAATGTAGCATCTGCCTTTAGCACAACGCTAAAGACAGATACAAGATGATTTTATATGGAATTTAGAAATACATAAGTAAGAGAAGAAACGATTTGTTTAGTAAATCTTAGTATCTTCTTAAGCCCTAAGTAAGTAGTAATGCTCAATGCTTCATACAAGCTATTCTCGAACCTCATGAAGATGAATGGACATTTTAGCTTGTTGCGAAGAATAATTCTTGTTTCTTTTCATCAATTTATGTCTGGTCAAGAAAGGGAGGTTAATTTGTAACCACCGTCCAATAAATATTCAATTTCCTACAATTAAATTCAATATTTAAAACTGTTCTTTAAGCCGAGGTATTTTTCAGACGTGTCATCAGGAATCCATAAAATTTCATAGTTTTACACTATGTATTTACAAAATTTTAAGTCACTTACGAAACAGAAATTTGGAGAAGACAGCATTCATGTTTCTTAGCCTTCAATATACATTTCTTGTAAATGTTTATAACGCTTATAATGTTCCTTTGTGTAACCTTTTGATTCCTCTGTAGGATTCATCTTTTGAAATACTGTTCTAAACTTTGATTACGGTTTTCTGAAACTGTTCAATGTTATTCCAGTAACAGACTTTGAGACTTCATTTTAAGGAAAAGAATTCTCTTCAGAATTCTGTTTGGTACATCTCAAGTCCATCAACGTTACGTGGTTTTACTCGAGATTTCTTAATCTGAAGTTTCTATGGTCGGACTGAAATTTCTCCACCCAAGAAAACGGCCGCTTTGTCTCAGTATCTCAAGCAAACCACGAAGATTAATCGTCAGTCGCTGTTTACTTAAAATAATTGGTAATATCTACCACTTGGATAAAATCATTTGCTTAACTTTCGAATCCCTGACAGCAAAATTTGTTGGAATTTGTTAAAAATTCGTTAAGACTGCAAAATCTTTGAGTAATAAATACTAGCTACTATTACTTAATAAAGTAAAATGATATCAAACTTAGATAAATTATTAAAGAAAATAGCTTAAATGGACATTCGAAAGAAGTTGGTTACAATGAGCATTATGATTCCTACCAAAACGTAATATGGTTAACAGTTCCTATATTCGTAATCTGCAAAATCTTACTGAAAACAAAATTTTTATCAAGAGTTTGGAGGATTTACCTGATTGCCCACAATAGAGTGCAGTAGCTGCATTCTGACTTCCAGTTGGACATGATTCCTTGTCTGCCATTTCAACAAGACTGGAATTTTTGATCGGCCTGAGTATCTCCTGTGCAATTCCGGCTTCATGGATGAAGAGAATGGCCAAAGAGGGGATGGGCCTCCCCTCTTTAGCTTAACTAACAAAGAGTTCTTTATTTAAACATTATAGGGGGGCTGGAGATCATATGAGACCTTCTTCTTAGTGTTTAGACTTTTATTCTTTGATTTGTTTTTAAATTTTATAAATTATGGTTATGCAATTGCAATACCTGTACGCTTATACGCTGTTTATTGTTATTATTATTATTTATCTTATCGCCCAAATGCAAGTTTCCAAAGTGGAGGGAAATCTAAAGAAAAAATAATGACCTTGTAATATATCTTTGGCGAGTTAAATCTATATTTTAAGAATAAAAGTGAAATAATTATTTCTCCTCAACCGCAACTGTAATATCGGTGCGCGTCGAGAAAATAGATATTACGTCCCTTTATTTAGATATGCATCAAACCATTTCGTTTAACACTTCAAACCCAAGATTTTATTATGTAAATTAAAGGAGTTTTGTTTGATCAAATGTGTCTCAGCTGGGACTGAAAAAAAATAAAAGATCGAAAGTAGAAATTGAACAATGCTAAAAGAGTTAGTTTTACTGCATTACATATTATTACACATTCAGATGGAAAACATTTTAATAATACCTATAATGTCTTGCAAAACATCAAATTGCTAGTAGCATTTGAATATCTGATACATAAATCATTCATAATACAAAGGGTGTTAATACATTTCTAGAATTTTTCGATTTTTAGAAAATGTGTAAATGATGTGAAATAAAGAATTCTGCCAAGAGCGTATAATTTGAAATGGTAAATATCTTTTGACTCTTGAAATTTATTTTCTTTCAAAGATTACTTGCAAATAAACTCTGGCCTTTTCTGAAGTGAAATATTCATGTTTCGCAATTCAAAAAGAGGGCGAAACAAATAGCATTAGCATTTCTAAATGCAAAATTATCAGCATTACCTAATCGGAAAAGTAAAACCGTCAATTGTTGCTTTTACATAGCATAAAGATTCCACAAATACACTCAAACCTGTTTTTGTGCGATATTTTATTTATGCGATTTTTTTGTATATGAAATTTCAATTAAACTGGAACACAACATACGAAGTTATCAATAAAAAAATAAAATAAATAATCAATTTAAAAGTGATCTTCAATCTTGTATATCTGCCTACCCAGACATATACAACCGTCTAGAAAAACCACAGTCCTCGCAAAAACTGATCACCGACTACATGATAACTGAAAAAAGTCAACTCTAGACGACTCTATTTTTATAGCTACTCGTGAAGACTTGCGCGATCTTTTTTATGCGGTTTGTTTTTATGCAGTCCCTGTCCACCGCACAAAAACAGATTTGAGTGTACTCTAAAGAGATATGTACTGTTCTAAAGAGAAGTCGTGTTGACAACAAAAAGTCTGTCAACGCAAAAATCAGTTGCAGAATCTTCAAGCATATCAGTATCAACAAATAAAGCACCAGACGAAAAATTACCACATAAAAAAGTATAAAAACAAAATTTTCAGTGGTTTTTGCTGAAGCATGTAGCTGAACGCAAGAAATATTATACAACCTTTTATGATCGCCGTTTACTAATATAATTAACGGAAATACATTAAGCCCGATATTTATATAATTAATTCTATTTCTTTATATCCCAGAAACTTCCAAGGCATGAAATTGCACCAAGACTAAGTTACAAGTCATACTTCGAAAACTAAAATTATATTCTTTGGAGCGAAAGAGAAAAATGTGGCAGATATGCCATGTATGCCTCGGCGAAGTATCTTGACACTTCAAATATATGAAGTGATATTCCTCTGGTCTATTAGAGGTCTGCTGCCTAACTGGTATAGTGGTTAGTAATGCTGACTACCATATCGTTGAACCTGGGTTCGAATTCCGCAGAATGCATGACTGTTTGTAAATGTATAGTGTGTTCACGGAATGAGAGCACGCAAAATCACCAAACTATTCGAAAGAATTTCTGAATGGTTTGGTGATAGAAAAAGAGTTGTGGAGTACCCTCGGATCCGTTCCTTGTGGTGTTCTTCATCAGAACTGTCACGGAGTTGCACAGTTAATGCTACAGGACTATCTGCAAGACCAACGGTGAAATTCTTCCACTTCTATCTTCATTTGCAAAAAGCTCTTTCTAAACACAAACCTACCACGGTTGATAGCCTTTTTAACGTAGTTAATGAGGGTGGAAAACAACATCCCTGGAAATTTTAGGAAAAGCCATTCTGTGAGGGAAAGCGCGATGTAAACTTACAGGCCAGAAAGAAAAAAGAATATGAGATCAAACGATCAAATGTAAATGGCGAGTATTTACATGTTGAACATTAATTAAACTGCAGCGAAATTCTCCTTAAATATATGAACATCCTCTGTAATTTCTTAGTTTTAGAAGAATAAATAATACAATAATATTATCTATAAAAACTTATTATCTTTTTTATAACATATTTCATAAATTTTATTTTATTTAATTTATAGGTGCTTTGTGCTTTAGAGACTTCCAAGTATGTAAAGCAACTTTCACTGCCTTATTTCACTGTCGGAGGCAAAGCCAGATATGGACTACAAGAGAACATGAAATTAGTCATAATTTTTTTCCCTTATCTTTTGTTCAACTGTGTAAACTGAGAGTCTAGTTTTTTTTTCTTTCCAGGATCATTGAATGTGTTTATTGTATTTATCACACTTCCAAAATACACAAAATATTAGTTTGAGTTTGGAAAGAGGTTTTCAGTTCATTGTTTTATTAAATGCAGATAAATACTCTAAAAAGCATTTTGTTTAGAAAAGGAAGGCTATTTAAGATGTTCAGTCTTCATTATTTACCAAATTTTTAGATCTCATAGATTATAAATGGCTTAACATAATGAACTGTAGGATGTTTAATGGGAAGTAATTATAGTGTTGTGATGTAAAAATTTTACGTGTAAACCTTATATAAACCATTTATGATTTCTTTGAAAAGGGAATTGGAAGCATAATTTTAAGTCATACGTTCATGGTGTTTTGGACTATTAGAAAATTCCGAGTTATAAATGGCTACATCTATATTAAATGTTAAAAAAATGCTAATCCTGTTTTTCTCGTTCTTATGAAAGAAACTTTTGAATGTTATAAACTTCTTTAAAAAGCATCGTAAAGTCTATTACCATAGAGGGTTTCAAATGTAAATTAAATCCTTAAGAATATACTTAAGCCTATCAATGAAATATCAGTTTTAATTAGTGGAGTTTACAAAAAATAACTATCACTAGAGAATAATTAATTCTTTATTGATATACGCAAAGTCTAGAAAGTTTTAGGACCATTTTTTAACAAATTCTAGCAAACATATGAAATGACAATAATAATGTGTAATATGTATCAGATTCGGGGCAAGGATGAGGGAAGTGCCTCAGTTGCCTCAGGTGAATTACTAAAAATAGCGCCAAACTAACTACAGAATATTAGAAGCATATTTAAAAAATTATAAATCATAATCTTCTGCGGTAAAAAACGTACCAAAGTGAAATTCTGCGTGGCAAATTTCTGATTTCCGGCCCTCATTTTTCATAGCCATCTTCTTAGCCAGGACGGCGTCTCTCAGTTTATCTAACACAGCATAGTGTCACTGCAGTGTCAGTTGACTAGTTTACTTTATTACCTTCCTGCAAGCTGGATTCTGAAACACGTATTTTATTGCATGTATGGTACCGGAGGCAGGTAGCGTTTCTGACTCCGTATAATGATTAGTACATTTGTGAGGTTGCGTAATAGTTATTGCACTTTTTTGAACTCAAAACATATATATTACAATTAAGAGAAGCTCTTTCCATATATACATAATTCATGGATAACATAGAATAATTATTGTAGTGAAGTATAGTCCTCGTCACGTGAGGAATCTGCTAACGAGCGTCTCTCTAGGTAGGAAAAAATCTATAGACTGAATTAACATGTCTCCTTAATTTTTCTGTGGTATTTTACATCCTCTGATTCGTTATATCTTGAACAACATCAGAGGAAAAACAAGATCATTGGTTCGTCAGCCCTCCTGAAATCAAGAGGCTTTGCCAACAGACACAGTGCAGAACGCTAAAATCTCTTGACACTGGTCATGAAGTTGTCATTTATACTGTCAACTCGAGCAAATTATTTCGTCCGCGATGTCAGACCATGTCGTCTGGCACATCATAAAAGCTTGGAAACAGTGGCTTGCCTGGACCGCACACACGATTCTCTCATCTCTATGTGGTCCGCCGCAGATGGTTTCATTAATTCAGATTACGAGATCAAGAATTTTTTTATTATAAGTAACTCATGCCATTATTCTCAAATATGCTGCTGTCTTATAGAACTGTATACCTTATTTTCTAATATTAAGATTTATTATTGGAAACACCGTAATTACCGTTTAATAAATTTACTCTTTTACACCGTTTAATAAACTGCGCAGACGGAATTGCTTAAGAAAGCCATGCCGGCATTATCAGTGATTTGTACTGTAGCTTTTAATGCAGTTTTCACCATAAGAAATCTCATTAAGCATAGGTGAAACTTTGCGAAAACCTGTTTTCCAAAGCCTACAAACTGAATTTGAAATCACATGAATTAGTTTATTTTTGCGAGACCCAATACATTACATCCTGTGGAATTGCATCCAGAGGTTAAATAAGCTTTCTGAAAATGAAATAGATCTCATTATTAGTCTTTTCATCCATGTTTTTATGTCGTTGAATGAACCATAGTCTTCGAATTTCTATCACGTTTTATCTTTATTTAATTTCTTTCAGGAACTGCATAGTTAGTTTCACTTATGATTGTTCCTGTAATAGCAACAGCTATCGCTAAGTGGTTTAAGCGAATTGGCTCATCACTTCACTTTTTGTCTATAAGTTCTAAGATTACTATTATTTTTCTTTAACCAGTTATTTTATGTTTTGGATCTGTACTCTCACTTCTCCCTTTAATTTTCTCTCCAGAATGCGAATTAGATATTATTTAAGTTAAGGCTGTTCAGATTCTTTTCATCATCCAGGACCTTCTACGAAAGACATATTTCACGTACCAGTCATTATAAGGCTTTGTAAGAAGCTCACTAGTTGCTAGCAACTAGTGAGTTGCAAGAAACTGTAGATAACGAGATACTGCAGTAACACCCCTGCAGTATCGTACCTAAGTCAGAGCGCGTTTCTGCCTGTGTGCGCGCACGTTACGTTTCTCCCAGTTCTGATAGCCAAAATTTCTTCGCTTTGCATTATATACTACCGATATTCGAATATCAAACTTTATGAACCAACTTCGTGTTAATTTAAAATTTGTGTTCTTTAGCTAATAGCTTGTTTAAATTTAAATTTACATTTGATTATTATTTTAAGTTATTTTGCCACAAGTATTTGGCTGATCCTGTTAAGGAAGTGATGTGCATTTACGTTCCAATTCAGATTTAATTAAAAAGGTTTTGTTTTAAAACGTTTTTAGTACTTTGCAGTTCTTTTTAGACTAAGCGATAATTTGCTCCAAGTTTATTAGGAGTTTGGATTTAGTTTATGCTATCAAAGCAAGTCAAACTTTATATTGGCGCCGGTACAAATTCTCCGACTGTGGCTAAACACAGCACTTTATATTGGCGCCAGAACAAAATCTTCGACTTTGGTTCAACACAACAAGCGGCACCAACGAATCTCATGAAAAGATTTGGGGGTACATCGTAGATACGATGCGCGAGACTGCGTTTGATGGAAGAAGTTCTGTAATGACCTTTCTCGAAACTTTAGATTCGTATTTCTTGTTTTACCCAATTAGGGAAATAAAAAAGATCACCATAACAATCACCGCATTGCAATGGCAGGCACTGAGATAGTACGAAGGCACTGGTAAATTTTAGCTGGTTGAACCAGGCAGTTAGATGTATAGATTTGAAGTGTTTAAAGCCGCCCTGGTAAAATCATTCCCCGTGGTAAAAGATAGGGCCAGACTAGAGGTGTAACTGTGTAGTACGTACTAGATAAGATTAAGGTAAATACAGATTAAGATCAAAGAACTGACAGAATTTATATTGAGGAAAATTGAAGTTGTTAATTTGTTGTATGGGAAAAGGTTCGATGCAGAGGTGATTCAGATTAGACTGCCTAGATTTCTACTTAAAATTCAGGACTCTTTTGTGTTAAGAAACCCGAGCACATCTGAGCGATTATTTGAGCAGGAGATTATTTGAGCAGGTTTGAAAGCAGGAGACTTTCAGAAAGTACGCGTGCAAGGTATGACCAGAGGTCAAACGGACAGTTTCATAAGCTGTAGCCGTAGGCAGGTCACGACTGGACGACAGGAAACGATAGAAAACGATAGAAAGAAATTTTCAATGGCAAATGACAAAATAATTCGCAAAGCAGGAAACAGAGGTAAATGACGAAAAGCTAAATCAAGTGGAATGAAGACGGTACAGTACTCGGAAGCAAGAAAATCTCTCTATAATTTAGTTGGATACAATAGTCATAAAAAGTTTGGCTCTGCCTATAATCCAAATTTTGCTAAATAACGTGCCCGTGGATGCACCATTGGATACAAAACAGTTTCTTAGAGGAAAATGATTTCGAAAACATTTCAAGCGGTATAGAATGTTTGAGGTGGAAAGAATGGCAGTTGTTGATGCCCGACGGAGAGCGTGCATGTGCACGTAAAGTTACAATAAACGTTCCAGCAAGAAATGAGCATCAGAAGTTGGTTCTCTTCACTGTGAAGAATCTGCCACCTCCAGAAAATTTGCGAATAGATTTTTTAAAGGCAGCGAGGGCAAAAATTAATTTCAGGGCAGCCACGGTACAACTCGAGATGAACCAGCTGAAAAAAAAAAACAACTGCAGCCACCGATCCTAGATCTCAGCAGTTGGAACCTGAAGGCGTTTGAAAGTGGAACAGCTGATAAGAAAATTTGCTGATCTGTTTAATGAGGAAAAAGGATTAACTCAAATTGTAACCACATCATTGCATAGAAAATCACTTCCCTCCATCGAGCAAAGCCTTACCACTATGATTAAATTAAAGAAAAATAATTGAGAAGCACATCGAACAGACGTTAAAAAATAAGATCACAATATCCATTAAGCTAGCCCGACGGTACTGTGCCATAAAAAATAATCTCCTACTAAAGGACCATAAAGCTTAGTGTTTTGCAACTGATTTTCGAAAATTAAATAAACTAAATACCCAGTGATCATAACCGAAGAAATAATTCAAAAGATTAAATCAACAAAATATATGACCACGCTAGATTTTTACCACTGTACATTTTCAAACATGTGTAAAACCAGATTTATTGCCAAGTCAGGCTTTTACACTTTCTTGAGAATGCCATTTGGATTATGCGAAGCATTCGCCAAGTTTCAGAGGGCGATGGATATTATGCTAAGACCTGTCCTCGGGAAACGTACTTTTATTTATCTAGATGATATAATTGTAAGTAGCGGGATTACATATTCAGGATTTCCACGAAGTATTTTCACTTCTAAACGAAGCAGGATTAAAAATAAATGCATCAAAATGCAAATTTGCCGCCAAAGAACTTTGTTGCTCGGTCTATATGATATCTCAGAAGAGAATCGAAACCAAAAATTGCAAATGGTTGCAATAAAAAAATTACTTTCTACCTAATAAAGCAAAGAAGTTAGTTTCATTTTGGCTTGTGCTCCTTTTAAAGGGCTTTTATCAAAGATTTCGCACAAATATCAAAACCGCTATTAGAATTAAAGGGAAAGAAAACCAGGTTTACTTGGACGGCCAAAACAAACACTGTG